CATACCTCTCGCGAGCCCCTACGACAGGATAGGGCCTACGCGAGGCACGACTTACCTCCACCTTACGGGAGTTGTCACCTCCCTTCGGTGGGCGTATCCCCGCCGAGCTACCAGTCCATAGTACGAAAACTACTCGGTTGCAATCGCAGAGGTGGACCAGCCGAGGGCTTTTCTCGTTCGCTGTAGCATAGGGGGTACGTGCGGTAATACGCCTATCGGAACCGCACGCAAACCGACATCTTGGGGGGCTGAAGTCCCAAGCGTGGCTAGTCGTCGGTCAACTAGGACACATCTCACACACCACGCGTACACCACTTTACGAACACAAAAATAAAGCACACACACACACACATACAACACGGCCTACATAGCACCGTGTTCGCGTTCGGAGGCGAACGCGAACATGTTCGCCCGAACGCGAACAAGCGCCCAAAACTCTCCGAACGCGAACATAAAAAATATTTATAAAAAAAAAACAAAAACAATTCTCAGAAATATCTGAAAAACATATATGTTATGTAAAATAACAACACAAGCAACTTTTGTCTCGGAGTCATGTTCAAATTCGTAGCCAATCATGAGTTAAAAATCAAAAATCGAAAAAAAAATAAAAAAAAAAAATATTTTATTTTTTTTTACAAAAAAAATTATGTTCGCCCGAACATGTTCGCGAGCTGTTCGCGCGAACATGAAGGGGCGTGAACACGTTCGCCGTGCTGCGCAGAACACGACACAACACAAACAACTCGACAACGCTCCTAGCCCCTCGGTAGCCAACCCATAACTTTTCGATGCGAAAGTCAAATGGGCGTCGCGCGCGAGGCTTATTATAAAACCGCGCGGACGCAGGGCCTACTCATACCGACTAGCAATGCAAACGTACGCGAGCAGTCACAATGATGGCGTACTATGTAGTGCCTATAATCAAGCGGTCCCTCGTGGATCCGAGTACCGGTTATGACACTCAAGTGTCAAACTCGAAGTGTCGTGAGGGTCTAATCCTTCACGACATTGCACGGCTGAAGGAATAGTCGTGCAGCCGCCTGGAGACCTCCGGCCTTTGGTCTGAGCGTCTCGGTTGGCCAGGCGAATAGGCTCTGCACGGGGGCAGATTCCTTCCCCGCAGAGTCTAGGGCTTGGGATGTCCTGGACAAGGACCTTGAATCCCGGCTCAGGACCAATGTCCGACCATAAAAATCTCTAAGAAGCAAAATGATAAAAGGGGATCTCCCTTTTCTCTCATGTCATAATCAGGTTAATAATTGCGCACGATCTCAGTAAGCCGCGCGCGTACCGAAGTCACATATACATATATACATAAGGCTCATTTATATAGGACGATCACTTCTCACAGTCACAGTGAGACTCCTCTCAGCCACATATGTATGTAATCGCAGGCAGTCACATCTAGAAGCCGAACCACAAACATACCTGCAATCACATCAAAGATTCAACCAGGAGTCCACGCACTACACGTGGTCAACTTCAACCATTCCTTGCACTCATACCCCTCGTTTTAGCCATACAAGCCTCACTGGTGCAACTCTCAAATAAATACTCAGTACTTTTGCTGGATGGTCATTCAATAAAGTCCGAGTGAAAACACAACAAAACAGTTCAATTACAAGGCTAAAGCCTTTAGGTTGAGTGACAGGAGTGAGTTGGAGTTGAATCGCAAACCGACGAATCGGCAACCGACCTGTTATCAGTGATAACAGAAGATGATCCTCAAGGGATCAAGCTGAATCTAGTCCTGAACTTGAACCAAACGATCAAGAGGACCTGTAACACATGACAGGTCAATGCCCCAAGCTAAACCTATAAGTCCGATGAAGAATAATCCCCATATCACGATCTTACTCAAGAATCATTCTACCTAACTATATCTAAGCTTACCTTTATGCAAGTGTCCAAAGAAAGGTAGACTCATGGCAAAACCTCCCCTATTTAGAGTGGACTACCAGAATCGTCACCTTTCAAAATATAATCTATCTCCTTCAAACTAAGAAAATTTCCGCAGCGCTTCCCGTATTAAAAGTGTCTTTCAAGAATTTATACAAGTCCATATATGAAAGCGAAAATAATCCCTAACTCTGGAAAGTCAAATTCTGCCTAACTCCCTAAATTAGTAGAAATTTGGGCAGCACTCCCTTTAGAGAGGGAGACTTCACAAATTTATACTAAGTCAGATATGAACTCAGAAAGACAGCTTGAGTCCAACGTAGACAAAATTTAACCAACTCCTTAGTTTTGCAGAAATTTCGGCAGCACTCCCTTTAGAAAAGTGCTACTCCAAAATTTATACAAGGCTAAGTTCAGAATTCAAAAGTAACTTTTGACTTCTCAAAGTCCAATTTTAGTCTAACTCCCTGAATTAGCAAAAATAGGGTAGCACCCTTTTTAGAAAATGAGACTTTCCAGATTTTTACTAAGTCAGATATAAGAAAAGACAAAGTTGAACTTTTAACAGGTCAAAATTCGACTAACTCCTTGGATTTGTAGAAATTTCGGCAGCGCTTCCCGTAGAGAAAAAAACTCGCCAAGATTTATACAAAGCCAAGTACAAGAAATAATCTCAGAAAATGCAAGAATTGACCTAAGTAAAAAAACCTATCACAGAAAATGCAGAAATTGAAACTAACTTCTATCGCTCTAGCACGTGGCGAGCAATTAAAGCAACTACCTATAACACTGAAACCCAAACAAAGTAGCTATCTCATTCAGTCACATGCAAACCAAACCACGAATGTAAGTACTCTCACCATCCCAAGTTCATTCCATAGAGATAGTTTATGAATCTTTTAAGTTCTTGAACCCTTATTTCCCTCTTACATAAGACATAGAGCTGGACCATTCGCCATGGAAACAATGCCCAGCTTGCCTTTAAGATATACAAGAACAGGTTGCACAACTACTTCTCTCTTCTTTTGGGCATATGACTAGGCCATTCACCATGAAAACAATGCCTAGCCGCCCTGAGCCGTTTAATATCCAAAATTTAGTATTTCTCTGACTTTGTTTTAAAAAAGGAAAGCAAATATGGGCAGGGGACTGAACCATTCGCCATGGAAACAATGTTCAGCTTGCCCAGACTATTTCCATTTATACTTCGTATTTTTCAACGTTGGACTATTCACCATGGAAACAATGCCCAGCTGTCAGTTCACATGCAAATATATATAAAGTATTTTCCCTTTATAGTTAGTTTAGCTTACTTGCGTGGTTTTCAGGCTAAACCATTCACCATGGAAACAATGCTTAGCCTTAGACCAGAAATCCTCCCTCAGAATAAACAAGAACTTAAACTCCTTCAATCAGGCAAACCCCCAGAGTTAACTAGAGCAGCCAGACCATTCACCATGGAAACAATGCCTGGTTCCCCAGAAAACAACTAAATAAACACAGCAACCAGACCATTCACCATGGAAACAATGCTCAGGCTTTGGTTGACCTTTCTAAACGCATGCAAGACTACCTTCCTCTCATCTTCCCCCAGTTTATCCCTTTGTCCGCTTTCAACAAAAAAAAAAAAAAAAACAAAACTTAAGCTTCACTCTCACACGTTCCTTTCATTCAGTCTGATTGGGTTCTGAAGAGAAAGCAAAAACTATAGGGACAACCTCATGCATACAACAGTCATACTGCAGGGGGATAAACAAACATGGGTGGTAGTAGGTTGTACAGATGGAAGTGGTTTACCTAATGATTCCCTGCCTCCAGAACTCCTCCTGAGTACCGGCAGGGCTCCCGCAATCGGTGGGTGGACTCCCCACAGAGTCTTGACACGGACCTACGGGTTGCAATCCCGCCTGCCGCCTTCCTCTCAGAACAGGGCTAGACTTAGAGTAAGAAGGGCAGAAGGAGGGAGTTTAAGTCTCTCAGATCCAAGAGAGGTGCGGTCAGACTCGCAGAAGAGGGCCTTGATACCTTCACTCGCCTGAGGGCCCCACAATGATGGCCACAACACGCAGCCGCCGGTCAAATCGAAGTCACCACGTCGAATGCTGGCCCGCCTGATGGTCCCCCAAATCGCAGCAATGCGCCCCTCTTTCCAAAATTAGTCACTCCAGAATTCTCGCAATCCCAAATGCAGTGGCCATAGGTAAGCTTCCAACCCTGGGCCTGCCTCCTACTAAACTCATTACCACAATGAACTACGCGCCGGTTACCGGATAAGGTCTGCAGCACCGGACAGGCATGCCAATACGCAGTGCAGAACCTTGCAGCAGGTTGAACCCGGAAAGCACGGGAATGCTGAGTATACAAGTCACTACTAGATAGGCTTAGTACACCACAGTGGCTTAGTCCTGCACCCTACACAATCCTGCCCCGCAGCTCAATCCCTCAGCCCACTCTTCAGTCTATAGATAGTCGGCGAGGGTGGCATCAGGCAAGTCTCCAAGCTTGTGGCGGGCCCGTTGCTGCACAAGCTAGCATAATGAGCGGCACACCACCATCCCTGCTTGCTGATTCCGTCCCAAACCGCATGCGCTGCCTTCCAATCAGTAGTGTTGCCTGAACCACGCCTTCGTGCGACTGCAGCCAGTCCTTGACTGTCTTTCACAGGCCTGCACAAGACTGTGGGAATGTAAGAGGCGGAAGCCGGCCAGAATTACTACAGCCGATATCACTCAGCCCACGTTCCTGCCACACAACCCCCATAGCAGATTTGCGCCCACTGGTGATTCCGAATGCGTTTCTGGCAAGGTAAGTGCACTCAACTTCTCCCAACTTGCCTCCCTTGCCCTTATCAGCGTCTTTCCCAAGGACCGAGAGGATGCAGCTTCCATCGACGCGCCGAACCGTGGGTCGGTCAACAGGTAAGTCCCCAACCCCGCGGCCGGGCTTAAGCCCGTCTCGCAGCCAAGACGAGCGATCTCGTATGGGTCTGCAGCTGCAGCGTGGCCGGGGGTCAGCGGAACCGCAATGGCGGTGCTTCGGCAATTGCAATGGCGAGCTCCTCCGAGACCGCGTTGGCAGGTGGAGAGGAGGCGGGAATCCCCCCCCCTGTAAGAATGTAAGCCAGATGCCCCCTGATCAGGTAAGTACATTCGTTCCAACTCGTTCCGGCCTTGTTACTCACTCAAAACACGAAAAAGTGACTGAATCCTCCACTAAAACGTGGCCAGATACACCGTTCTTATTCCATAACGTTTAACAGAACAACTTTCTCTCTCTTTCTCTAACGAAACTAACATCATCATTAGATTCGCTCCACCAAGGAACCTAAGAATCCTACCTTCACTTGCTTGTTCCCATAGCGAAACGAGCAGGCTGTCCGATCATCATCCCCATCACACCCGTTTTCACTCCCGCCATCTCCTCACTTCAACGCACTGTCTCTCTTTACTTACTTCTACTTTACTAACTTATTGTCTAATCTAACATCACCAGTGTGATCGCCTGGGGCAGAAACCCCTACCTCGAATCCTTTCCCGCTCGTTTTCGTCTAGAATTGAGCGGCACCTCGTTTTCTACCCCCCCGACATCTCCCTCCTGCCATAGCTCCGCGCACGACATTTCCTTCTTACCCCTTCTTCTTCTTACTCTCCGTCCCTCCTGACTTCACTAACGGGTTCGCCCTACCCAAAAACCGCAACTTCAACCTCAAGTTCAACGAAATCGGTCATGGTACGACCGAGATACATAAGTCCCTCTCTCCTACTCCTCTACTCTCCGCTATCCTCTACGCATGTTTTTCCGCACTAACTTCTCAACTTACTAACTATCTCCTAAGACTAACATCCGATTCGGGGTCGCCATGGTCTGAAACCCCAAGATTGATCTCTACCTTGCCCGATTCCGTTATGAAACGGGCGAGTTATGGCTCCCTCCCTCCGCCATGCTCGTCTCTTCAGTGTGCGCGCATCTGGCGCAAAACGGCGTCCAGATACGTCTCCCTCACTTACCTCGCCCTCTGTTTTCTTGCCTCCGCCATTTTCCCGACACCCCACGTCCGGCAGTCGAAGATCACCTTAGCGCTACACTGCGCGCCCTCCCCGTTCCCATCTCCGAATGCACCCCGTCACGCCCCCCGTCTAATTCATTCATCGCGCTCGCCTGTCTTCGCTACTGCCCGCTACTGCATGGCGCTGCCCGTCTCGCTCCCCGCCTTGCCTCACCTCGTCATTTTCGACGCTCAGGCTGTGCTTCGAATATGACCGGCCCCTACCGCTGTGTTCCTTGGCCCGACAACACCTCGAACATCAGGCCGGTTTGACGACGACAACTCTCTATAGAAGACTCTGAGGGGAATCGTCCGCAGGATGGTGTTGAGCCCCTTGCCCCTACGCCCGAGTCCGACGTGTGGGACGCGCAGCAGATACTGCTGCCGGTCCGCTACAACCTGTCCAGCGTCCGCTGCCCACTGCGTTATTCCTCCGCCCGCTGCTATCTAGTGCCGCGCTGCCCCGCTAGCCCCTCCGCGGACAAGCTTTAGCCCGACTTTTCATAGCAAGCCGTGGGACCGAGGGTGCAGGCCTGTTATGCGCCCAGGCGCGGGCCTGGGTGAAACTGCCCAGCGAATATTCAAATGAGAACTTTGAAACCCAAGGTAGAGGAGGGGTTTCGTGCCCACCGCCCGTGCAAAAGAGGGGGCGCGTGCTCAAGGTCTCCAACCACCACGACGACTTCCTCGGCCTCGAAACGTGGGTCATATACATGACCGTGCCGCGGTGGCCACGGAATCCGGCGTTGGTCCGGGTCAATCGGCATCCCGAATAAATGAACAAAAATTATGGTGCTACAACGCATTATTKGGGGAATACCACCACCAATCAAACGCTGCCGACGGCAAACCAAGGGGGACAGCCCCGCCGATCCTTCGATGTTGCGCACCTTGTTCATTGTGCAGAATTCTCACCGTTGTCGAGGCCGTCCTCCGCACGAGCGTGCGCACATCCCGACCAAACGTACCAATCAAAATCAAAAAGAAAAACATCCTATTAATCCTAGTTTAATCAAAAATAAATAAAGAATTAATTTTGACCGGCGGCCCCGCCGGTTTTACAACCATTAATAATTAAAAAATAACGCGCGCCTCAAGAATCCGCGCGCCCACACACTCTCTACTCTAGTCAACCATTCAGTCGACCTTGACTACAGACACAGCCGCGCCTAGCGCGGTATACATAAACTTTAAACCAAAACTAGTTTCTGTCGCTTGCAAAAACCAGGGCGGATACCCTTGTACCGACAGCAGTGGAAGGGCCAATACAAGCCACGTTGCACGTTGTGCAGCAGTGTTTTCCCCGGTGCGCGGACAAAGGCGATTGACCACTTCACTTGCCCGTCTGCACATTGCAGATTCCGTACGGGAGAGATCCTGTACAAGTTGATGAGGGACGGGGTCACCATCACTGACCCTGTAGGGAGGGCAATGGCAGCCAGGCATCTCGAGGTCCACGAGGAGGAGTTGGAGATGGAGGACCTGCAGAGGGCCGAGGAGGCAGCTGCCACAACGACAGGTATGCCGATGCATGACGACCGAGTTCGTGGCCGTGGACGGCAGTCAGCTGCCCAAGGGTCGCAGACTGTTAGGATGGATGAGGGAGCGGTCGATGGTGGGTCAATGGACGACGAGCTGTCTATCCTTAGAGAGAGGGTCCGCGTCCTTGAGGCGGAGCAGGGGTCGACTAAGGTGCAGAACACCGCACGACAGCCTTCAAGGCGAAAAACCGACTTGTCATGGCTCAGGACAGAGGGCACACGTGCACCGTCAGGTGTTGTTGTGCCCCGCGATCGTCGCACGCTGCAGACGAGGTTGGATAGTTGGGCAAAGGGAGACCTGCAACAGCAGTATGAGAGGTTGTGGGTCAGGGCCTTGTACAGGGCTGGGGTGCCATTCATATTCATACAGCTCGAGACTACGCAAGAGCTGCATGACTTCATGGTATCATTGATGAGGGTCACGATTGGGCCTACTTTGGTCCTCCCCTCATACACTGACATGCGCACCCGCCTCCTCGACGAGATTTATCATGAGATAGCAGAGAGGGTCGCTCCGAAGAAGGCAAAGTGGAAGTTGACAGGGTGCACGATGATGACGGACGGGGCAACGACAAGGTTGTACAAGCCTATCGTCAACTTCATCGCAGCAAGCGAGGACGGACCCGTGTTGATCAGTACCGTTGACATGTCGGAGAGGGACAAGACTGGAGTGGCACTGGCAGAGTTGTGGGAGGAGGTCATCCGCGATATTAACATTAAGCATGTGAATGCTTATTGCACTGACAACGCTTATGCAAACAAGGTGGCTGCACAGCAGTTGCAAGACCATCCGTACGTCCTCCTCCTCTTCCTCCTCTACCGCCTCCTCCTCCGCCGCCGCCTCCTCCTCCTCCTCCGCCTCCTCCTCCTTCCCCCTCCTGCAAGGAACATGAATATGAATGAAGCACATAAATCCAAGTTGCAAAATCACACTGAAGTCCAAGTAGTCAAAGCCAGAGCAGATAGCACAATGAAACCAAGTAACCATCCAATTGAGAATGATACAACAGAATCGTGAGTCAATGTCCATGCCCAATCGGGCAACACCAACAACATAACTCAATGTAGCTCTCTCTCTGGCATGGCGCCTGGCGCCCTATCTACACTACAGACTAAGCCTACAACTACAGCATGAAAGCATCCAGACAACTTGACGACCAACGAGTGATGATGTCAACACCAATGCCGACCTCCTCTTCCACCCAGGTACGTCACTCTCTTCACCCACACTCTCCCTTGATAACCCACAGCGCCCTTTCGCCTCCGAAGAACCACTTCCTCTCCTCCTCCTCTCCTCTTCTTTGTCGGCCTTGTCGTCCTCCTCGAAGTCCAACCTATCACGCGTTCGGCCCCATACCGCGCGGATCAATTTTTTTATTTTTTTCGTTAATCCACTGAGGAAAAAAAAAACTTTTAAAAACACCATCGTATCAATCAATCAATCCATCCATCCATCCATCAATCAATCAATCAATCATTCGAAAAAAAAAAGAGAAATAGTTAGCTAATCGAATCGATTGATTCAAATGGATCTTAATTTTTGAAATCAAGATCCAACCGAATCAATTGATTCGATTGGATAACAATTTTTTTTATTTTTTTTTTCGATTGATTGATTGATTGATTGATTGATTGATTGATTGATTGATTGATTGATTAATCGTCCTCAGCGATCCTCCTCCTTCATCCTTCTCTCCTCCTTCGCCTCCTCCTCGGCGATCCTCCTTCCTCCTCTTCCTCCTCCTCCTC